GAAAAGGGCAAAAGTGGTTGGACCGGTTATACTCGTCCTAGGAAGGTTTAGCATGGATTTGAGGAAGTTATTTTGTAGTAAATGTTTGCCACAAATGCGGGTGAGGGAGTTTTTTAGCAAAAAGCAAGACTCAAAGTGGCCTAGGCACATTGCAGGCCTGATTCCCCATGGGAGAACCTATCTGTGGGTGTGGGTCCTGTGCATCTCTGAGTGGGAGCTGGGCCCACGCCACGCAGAATGGTCTCCTACAAACTTGACCTTATCTGGGAAGCACTTTATCTGCCCTTCCATTCTAAATGGTAACTTTTCTAGATAGAGTAATCTCAGGTGTAGGTCCTTGCCTTTCATGACTTGGAATACTCCTTGACAGCCCCTTCTTACCTGAAAGGTTTCCTTTGAGAAAACAGTTGATAGCCTTATGGGATCTCCTTTGTAGGTGACTCTCTCCTTTTCTCTTGCTGCTTTTAAGATTCTCTCCTTATCTTTCATCTTGGCTAATGTAATTATGATGTGCCTTGGTGTATTACTCCTTGGGTCCAACTTTTTGGGGACTCTCTGAGCTTTCTGGATTTCCTGAAAGTTTACTTCCTTTGCCAGATTGGGGAAGTTCTCCTTCATTATTCGTTCAAATAAATTTTCAGTTTCTTGCTCTTCCTCTTCTCCTTCTGGCACCCCTATGATTTAGATTTTGGAACGTTTAAAGATGTCCTAGAGGTTCTAAGTCTTTGTTCATTTTTTTTTCTTGATTTATTGTTTCTTCATTCTGTTCAGGTTGAATGTTTCTTTCTTCCTTCTGGTCCACACTATTGATTTGAGTCCTGGTTTTCTTCCCATCACTGTTGGTTCCCTGTACATTTTCCTTTATTTCATTTAGCATAGCCTTCATTTTTTCATCTAATTTGGGACCATATTCAATCAATTCTGTGAGCATCCTGATTACCAGTGTTTCAAACTGTGCATCTGATTGGTTGGCTATCTCTTCGTTGCTTAGTTGTATTTTTTCTGGAGCTTTGATCTGTTCTTTCATTTGGGCTATTTTTTTTTCTTGGCACACCAGTTACATAGTAAGGGGTGGAGCCTTAGATGTTTATCAGGGTGGGACAACCCATGTTGCAGCCTTGTGATGCTGTATGTGGGGGGAGGGGTCTGAGAAGGAACAGTGTCACTTGCTCCACTCTCTGTCAGTTTTCAGTCACTTCCACCAATACCCATGTGTAGGTAAGCAAATTGGTCCCTTCTTGTGCTCATTCCTGGGTGGGTGGGTTTGTGTACATTCAAGGTTGTGTACATTGTGGGTCTCTCCAATGAACTCTCCTGTGAGACTGGAATTTTCTCCCACTGCTGCCCAACCTCTACAGCTGTTTTCAGTCAGAAGCTTTGAGCCATTATTTCCATGCACTGGAACCCTGGGTTGCTTAGTCTATCTCTCTTCCCAGTTGTTCCTCCCAGTTGTTCCTCCCATTTTATCTGCATGAGAATGTGGGACCACCTAGTCCACAAGCTGCTGCCTTGCCTGCTCTGTGAGCTACCGCCTTGTCTGCCCTGGTCCTCCAGCCACCACCTTGCTGAGAGTCCTCTCTGCCTGGCTGCCTGTCTCCACCCCTCCTGTCAGTCTGGGTGAATGTGTCTTCTTTCACTCCTTGGTTGTCAGACTTCCATACAGTTTGATTTTCTGTCAGTTCTGGTTGTTTTTTTAAATTTGTTGTTGTTCCTCTCTTGATTGTGTAAGGAGGCACAGTGGCTACCTACGCCTCCATCTTGGCCAGAAGTCTCCAGCCTAGAGTTTTGAGTCTTTAGTTTCCTACACTGAACCCTGGGTTTTGCAGTCTGTCTTGTTCCCTCATTGTTCCTCCCAGATGCTCTGGGAATGAATGTGGACTGCCCTCGCAGTCCACTGGACCACAGCCCTGCCTGCTCTGGTCTTCTAGCTGCCTTGCTCTGTCATTCTGAAACTGGAAAAGACACTGGAGTTTGGGCTGACTCAATACTACACTCAATAAGCAATGACAGCGATCGAATCTTTATGGGTGCTTTATTCAGATGGTCGGTGATCTGAGAAGACGGTGGGTTCATACCCTAACAGACCACCTTAAATTTCATTTTAAAATGGCCCCTTTTATTAGGAGAATAGAGTGTAGGTAAGGGGTTTGAATTCAGGAAAAGTTAATTGAAATAAAAAACCCCCCACAACTTCAGCATTCTCGTCCTGGGCAGTGGTCTTAAGCTGTGCCCCAGGTGGTGGCCTTTAGCTGTGTCCTGGGCTGTGGTCATCTCAGTCTGGAGCACAATGGCTCAGATATCATCTTGAATTGCTTGCAGTCCTCCTGAGGAACAAAGGTGGAACTGCTCATAGTCTCCTGGAGTCAAAGTGGGTCATACTTTCAGTTCCTGGAACAAAAGCTTTTAAATGCATTGCTTACTAAGCTTATTAGCTATTACTTAAACTAAAATTTTCCAACTCTTAAGTCCCCTATCAGTTCTTCCTTTCCTCCTTGGCTGCCCATCTCCACCCCTCCTACCATCTAGATCAATTGTCCTTTAACTCCTTGGTTGTTGGACTTCCATACAAATGTTTTTCTGGCGTTCTGGTTGTTCTTTTTTTTTTTTAAACTAGTTGTTATCCTTCTTTTGGTTGTGCAAAGAAGTGAAGCATTTCTGCCCATGCCTCCATCTTGACCAGTACTCGCTTAGTGTCAAGAGTTGGTTTCAGCCAGAGCTGGCGACTGATGTTTCTCCTTTGTTTCCCCAGAGTGCCTAGCAATTGATATAGACTCACTTGTTACTTATTCTACAATTAACAACAGCTGCTGCCCAAGTTTATTTAGTATCCACGCTTTAATTTCATATCCATCATGGACCATACTTTATTTATTGTGCATTTACATGTTATTTCCAACTTTCAGCAGCTCAGTGCCATCAGTATTATTGTAACCAAGCAGACAGGCCCATTCAAGTGGTCCCTTGGTGTATGACCCAACAATTAATGCTGGAAGAAACAGGTTTTTACTTACAATATTCCAATTGTAGTAAGGCCAGGAGCACGTCAGCCTGAGCCCTTCTTTCCCACAAGACCGAGCACTTCCCTTGCTTCCCAAAAGGCCATAAGCCAAAAGCCCTGAAAGTTCTCCATATCCTTTCTTAAGCTGGCTGCCCAAACAGTTGTTTAGTCCCTCTGGAAGGTACCAAAGTCGCCATCCTCATGCAGCAGCTCTCCCCTTCAGAATTTGGGGTACATTGTCATCAGCCTCCATTTCATAGCCCAGAAAAGAATGTACTGTGTTACACTGGATGAGGATAAAGTCCAGGAAGAGCACAAGTCCTGAGTGTCCAGGTTTGCATGGCAGCAGGTCAGCATCTTGCAAGGCAGTCAGGCCTTGGTGGCTTCAGAGTCGGCTATAGTGGGCACAAACAAAGCAGCATGCCTGCTTTCTTACTAGCCCATTGCAGACCAACTCCTACAGCCAGCATGGCTCCTATCTCACTACCAGCAGCATAGCTCTCCTTTCATGGCTTCCTACCCTTAGGTTTTAATCTTGACCTGGAGCCTCCTGTGTGACCTCATCTCCAACTCCTCTCACAATGAGCTACATTTGCCAGTTCCCCTGAACTGTTTACATTCTCTCAGCTGCCATCCCCAGTCAGAGCGAGTGACTCAGTGATCCAGGGGGAACTACCTCCCTTGGCTGTGTCATGAGTCAGGATATGCCCTTAAGGTCATGCCCACCTTGCCTCAAGGTGGTAGCACAGCTATTAAATAAACTATCAAATTGTCATTGTAATGTAAAGTAACTTAATCCTATCATCCTCTCTCCCCAGCCCCCAACCAAGGGCTGTGAGGGTTTTCTCCCATTTCCCAGGCACTTCTCACCCTGTGCCCTGTTACATAATTACCCCATTTTTCTAAAGAGAAAATGGGCTTTCCAGCAAAGAGGAGGTAAAAATTACAGCCAGTGAGTAGAGTAGAAGAACCAGCTATCCTGACTTCAAATCCTATGCTTTTTCCTATTATTGATTTTTGATAATAATCACTGATGTTCCAATACTGGAACCCTTGAAGTGGGGGGCTAAGGGATTGGGAAAGAGCTATTTGATAGACCCAGGTTTTAATTCTGCATTAGAAACTGACTCCATTGAAGCCACCAACCTTCTGATTCTGACTGGGGACTCAAATGTTGGAAAAATTTTAGTTTCAGGTAATAGCTAATAAGCTTAGTAATCAATATATGTAAAAAGCTATTGGCCCTGGCTGGTGTGGCTCAGTGGATTGAGCGTCAGCCTGTGAACCAAAGGTTTGCTGGTTTGATTCCCAGTCAGGGCACATGCCTGGGTTGTGGTCCAACTCAGATCCCCAGTAGGGGGGCACAAGAGGCAACCACACATTAATGTTTTTTTTTTCTCTCTCTCTCTCTTCCCCTCCCTCCTCTGTCTAACACAAATAAGTAAAATCTTTTTAAAGAGTTATTGTTTCAGGAACTGAAGGTGTGACCCAACTTCATTCCAGGAGACCATAAGCAATTCCACCTTTGTGCCTCAGGATGACTGCAAGCAATCAGGATGGCTTCTGAGACATTGTACTCCAGGTTGAGACACCCACAACCCAGGACACAAATGAGAAAATGCTGCAGGTTTTTATCTGATTGACTTTCCCTGAATTCCAATCCCCTTACTTACACTTTTCTTCTTATAAAAAGAGTTGGTTTAAAATGGATTTTATGATGATCTGTTAAGGTACAAATGCACTGTCTTCTTTGATGGATGGCCATCTGAATAAAGCGCCCATAAAAATTCAATCCCTGTTTCTGTTTATTGGGTCTGGTAGGTGACAGGCAGCATGAATGCCAGCTTTTTCAGTTTCAATTCTTCCCCTGTCCCAACCCCTACTATGCAAATCAAATCAGATATGCAGGAGAGTAGAGAAGAAAAGTTACACTTCTCTATTCTCTGCAGGAGTAATCTTTTGCTAGAAAGTTTTTTCTTTTTTTCTTTTTCTTTTTCATTCAGGGGAGAATGTGAGTGCAATTTCCCACTACCACAAATTATGCAGTTGAATTTCCACATTTGAGGTAATTGCAGTAGTCAACACATCCAGAATGCCACGGGTAAGCTCGCCCTGGGAGAACCACCTTCATGATTATGGTATCTCCCCTGCCAGGTAAATAAATGTCTTTTCCTTCCTTCCCTCCTTCCTTCCTTCCTTCCTTCCTTCCTTCCTTCCTTCCTTCCTTCCTTCCTTCCTTCCTTCCTTCCTTCCTTCCTTCCTTCCCTCTCTCCTTTCTTCCTTCCTTCTTCCTTCCTTTTTGAAATATGTTCCATTGATAAGGAGAAACTAAACTTGAAATCCATCTGTCTGAAAAGCATTTGACTCAAGTTTCTTTCAGTGTTTTGCCATCTTCGGGACAAGTGTGCACTGATACTTAAACTCTAAACCAGCCTGGGAATTCAGACTGCAAACTCAGTGTGTCCTTGGCTCTGCCTCAAGTTTGACACCAGAGTTCAGGATGACAGACAGCAAAGGAGGGGAGCACTCAACAGCAGCAGGAAAGTTTCCCAGCCTATCAGCCTAGGCAGTTTCTTTCCCCTCCCCATGTTGCAATGGAGCCCAGGAAGTGGGTCTCTTTCTTCTGACTCCTGGAGGGCCCACAACAGAAACTGCTGTTATTTGCATAATGCTTTACTGTTTCTACAGTGCTTCTTAAACGCAGCTAAGCATTCAGTCTTTGCAATTACCCATGAGGTGGATGTGTTATATCACCCATTTTATATCTGTGGAGTCAGAAGTTCAGGTGACTCACCAAAGACCTCCCAGTAAGGAGCAAAACCCAGCTTCAAAGCAGCTCCTTGGATGCAGGTCCTGCCCTGCTCAGCACACCTCCATGTGTCCCAGCCTGCACCAAACCATGGTTCCCTGGACATGCTTCCTTCCCAGACTCCAGGCTCTGGCACATGCTGTCCTCTGCCTGGTAAATTCCATCTCCTTCCACCATCTCCAACTGCAGAATCCCAACTTAAAGGCTCAGCTTCAGTGTCAACATGTCTACAAAAGTTTTCCTGATTCCCACCTGGACCCTCTCTCCTAGAATTTGTGCACTTAAAAAAAAAAAGGATCAAGTCACTGCAACCTAATGAGTGTTCTAATTACCATTCATGTCAGCCTATCATCTGCAGAATTTAAAAGAATGCCTTGTTTTATACAGCATGTTCTCAATCAAGTGCTTAACCAATTGAATTCTTATTATAAACCAAATAAAGTAATAAAAGTTAACATTTGTTGGCACTTTCTGTGTGTCAAGTTCTGTTCTAAAAGCTTTGCCTGTTTCATATAGTCCTGACCTCCAGCCTGTGAGTTAGGTTCCATCTCTGTCCATTCCTCGGAGGTAAGAAAGTAAAACTTTAAGTAATGTGTCTGGGGTCACCTGCTGGTAAAAGGTAGAGCTGGGGTTGAGCCACTTTCTCCGCTGTCTCTAAGGTAGGGACAAGTCCCTGGACCCTAAGAGCTGTATGTTTATTTCCTCCCCCAATAAAGAAGGCTTGGCTTCAACATGAGGCTGAAATAAGTCAAAAACTGGCCTTTGCCTTACTAGGCTTCATTTTGGCCAGAGAGGGGCAGCAATTCTGTGGAAAGTTGACACTTACCTTTGACCTCAGCCCAGAGAGAGCCTGGAAACAGTGGCCAAATTCTCTTGAGCTCTCAAATGTGGAAGAAAAGGAAGAGAGAGCTTGACCTGGCACTTGAAGTCAGCTCTGGGTCCCTACCCACCTTTTGTATTAGGGGCCAGACCACTCACTTTTCTATGATTCAGAACTTCCTCAAAATAAAAATGGTATTTTGGTAAAGCTCGTTAATCATTGTCAGGCAGTAAGGACCAAATAATGGATGACATACAAAGAACTACAAGGGTTTATTCTGAGTCAGGGTCAGTTAGTTAAAGGGCTACAAAACTTTGGGAAACAAACTCATTTCCTGCCCAGACCCTTATCAGAAAATTGAGGGAATTCTTAGCAGAGAAGGTTTCACAGGATTTTATGTATTCTTTCTTAGGCCTGATTGCCCTGGGGAACCTGCCCTTTCCAGCACAGGGCTGCATCACCCTCTGTCATTGTTTCAGGCTTAAATCAGGCAGTGGAAGTAAGGCAGCCAAGCGATTAGGAGACTTCTCACAGACAGAATGAGGTCTCAGGCTATGTCAAAGCTGAGGGGCGAGGCCATCACCAACTTTTGCTATAGCCCCCAAGTTCTTCTTGGCCTGAAACCTAGGCATGTAAACTGAATGGGAATCAAACCTGTGACCTTCTAGTTCACAGTCTGGTGCTCAATCCATTAAGCCACACCAGCCAGGGCTCAATGCATACTGTTTCTAACTCTAGCAGTACAAGCCTTGGGAATCTAGCAATTCAAGCCTCAGAAATCACTCTTTTCCCCCACTTTTTTCATTGAATTTATTGGGGTGACACTGGTTAACAAAATTATGTAGGTTTCAGGTGCACAATTCTGTAACACATCATCTATACACTCTATTGTGTTTACCACCCCAAGTCAAGTCTCTGCTCTTCACCATTAATCCCTCCAATACCCTCCTCCATCTCCCCACAAGGGAATCACCCTTGCTTTACTGATGGAGAAACTAAGGTGCAGAGAGTTTAAGTTGCTTGCTTTTTTGTCACTCACCTAGGAGGTGGCACAGCTAGCAGTGAGCTGAGGTCCATTTCAGGCTACAGCTCTGCCCTCTGAAAGAGGGAGCCACAGTTCTGGGACCTGCATGGAGTTGCCATTTGTCCCAGCCTTAACTGTCAGTGAAATGCAAAAATCTCATTAATATGTCCATTACCCAGGTTGGAGCATAAGCATCTTTCATAGCACAGGCCCTTCCTGTTTCTCTCTGTAGCAGGTCTTCTCTGTTTGTAAAGCTACATGCAGGGGCTGCCAGGGTTGCCCATCCTAGGGATGGCTCTGCCTCAGTCCTCTGACCTTCTGGATGCCCTGGCAGTGCCTGGCGGGGTGGGGGTGGGGTGGGACATGCTGGGAGGCAAGACTGTCCTTGACACATCAGTGCCAAGAGTTAATGTTGTCAAAAGCACTGAGAGGAAGGAATACAGGGTGGGATGGGGCAGGGCCATGACACAGGCCCTGATGAGTTTTGGGACTGTCCCTTTTCTGTAATAGGGGCGGAACAGGCTAGGAGCTCTTCCCAACATAGAAATACTGAGGTGTTTTCCCCACAGATGCTGCCCATGGAGAGGAAATAATGCCTTCTTTACAAAAGTGTTGGAGGTCTAGGGCTTCACCCAGAGGGGCAGAGTGAGTCACTGCAGAGCCAGCCCCACACCTAGAAAGTAAGACATACTTAAACAGTGTGTCTTACTGCCAACAAAAGCTTAGCAGGAGGAAGTGTATGATGTTAAAAAAGCCCACCTTTTAGTCGTATGTTATATTATGGGTTCAAGTTCATAAAAGTAACATCATAAAGCAGTCAGTGAGAATAAGGAGGCTCTTCTGACAGATAAAAATATTTTAAATAGGAGGCATGGGTGGTATTCGATGACAGACCCATGCCAATGCCTCACTTCCTGTTTATGTTTGCACATTATTGAGAAAAATTTGTATTTATACAGATCAACTATTATACCTTCCCAAAGTATTGAGTTTTGCATGTCGGGATATTTTATTTTATTTATCTTTTATTGATTATGCTATTACAGTTGTCCTGATTTTACCCCCCTGCCCCCCTCCACCCAGCACTCCCCACTCCCTCAGGCAATCCCTCCAACCTTGTTCATGTCAACAGGTCATGTGTGTAACTTCTTTGGCTACTCCCTGTCCTATACTGTATTTTACATCCACAAGGCTATTTGTTAACTACCTATTTGTACTACTTAATTCCTTTACCTCTCACCCTTTCTCCCACAACATCCTCCCATTCCTTTATCTTTAATCTTTGGCATTTTAATTATGATGTATCTTGGGGTGGGCCTCTTCCCACTCATTGTGTTTGGGACTCTCTACTGCTGCCTGGACTTGCATGTTTGTTTCCTTCACCAAGTTAGGGAAGTTTTCTTTCACTAGTTTTTCAAGTAGATTTTCAATTTCTTGCACTTTCTCTCCTTCTAGCACCTGTGATGCAAACGCTGGACCTTTCGAAGTTGTCTCAGAGGCTGCTTCCACTATTGTCATTTTTGGGGATTTTTTTCTTCTTGTTCTTCTGCTTGGCTATTTTTTGCTTCCTTATGTTCCAAATTATTGATTTGATTCTCAGCTTCATCCACTGTACAGTTTTTCCCTGTAAATTGTTCTTTATTTCAATTAGTGAATCCTTTGTTTCTGAACTTTTTTATGTCATTAAGGTCCACACTAAATTACTTGAGCATCCTTTTTTTCTTTTCTTTTCACTATGACAAGTGATTTTTCCCATTTTCACTTCTTTACTGTTATTCAATTACAGTTGTTCCAATTTCTGCCCATTATTCTCTCCTGCCCTACCCACCTCCCACCTTCCACATTCGTCCTTTCCACTGTTGTCTTTGTTCATGAGTCCTTTATACATGTTCCTTGATTTGACCCTTCCCCTTCTTTTCCTCATTATCCCCTTTCCCAGTCTCATCTGGTCAATGTCAGTTTGTTATTATTTCAGTGTCTCTGGTTCTGTTTTGCTCACTTGTTTATTTTCTTGAACCTGATAAATGGATCAGGTTCCACTTATAGGTGAGATCATATGCTCTTTTTCTTTCTTTCTTCCTTCCTTCCTTCCTTCCTTCCTTCCTTCCTTCCTTCCTTCCTTTCTTTCTTTCTTTCTTTCTTTCTTTCTTTCTTTCTTTCTTTCTTTCTTTCTTTCTTTCTTTTTTTCTTTCACTATGTAGAATTCCACTGCATAAATGTAGCAGAGTTTTTTTGATCCACTAATTTACTGATAGGCACTTAGGCAGTTTCCAGCACTTGGCTATTACAAAAAACTCTGTTGTGAACATTGGAGTGCATAGGTTCTTTTGAATAGGTATTTCAGGATTCTTAGGGTATAATACCTATAGTGGAATTGTCATGTGAAAAGGCAGTTCCATTTATAATTTTCTGGAGAAATTCCACACTGTTTTCCACAGTGGCTACACTAGTCTGCTTTCCCACCAACAGTATACTAGAGTTTTCTTTTCTCCACCACCTCACCAGCACT